CAAGGGATATCAATGACTTGAGAATCATTTTCATTCTTTGATGAGTGTGGCTAAGTTTTTAGAGTATAGTTCCATCATCTGCATTCTAGAACTAGAAACATTGACATCATTTTGATTTATTGTTAGCATTTCAAGATATGAGTTCCCTTTTAAAAACCTCAACACCATACTAGGTGTTTTATTTGCTTGAGGCAAACAAAGACTAAGTGTGAGGGTGTTGATAGCTTGCTATATTATAGTGTTTTAAGCTACATCTTGCATACATTTTATCTTATGCTTGCATCATATCTCCTCATTATAGTCTCTTTTTGCACTTAGAAGTAACCATGCATGCATTTAGATTAGGAATGCATACATCTGCGTGTTTGAGGTGAATTTCAGGTGTATTTGGAGGATTTGGAACTTGGGAAGGAAATTGAAGCAGCTCACATTCGAAGAGATGCCAAGAGAAGGAGCCTTGATAAGTCTGCGTCTACATCGAGAAGAAGCATCGAGCAGAACATGTGGAGTATGCCCGATGTGGATTGTGGGACGAAGAAGAGGAGTCTGATCGTGGACTTCAGGACTGCACCGGGATGGAGCACCAAGGAGAGAAGGCCGTACAGGCCGATATGGAGAAACAGGACATATCAGGGAGTAGCATCGAGCAGAACCCACGATACTGCCCACTGTACGCATGAAGACGCGTCTCATGGCAAAGGATGTCCGGATGATTGAAGTGCGACAAGAGCCATTCTGCATCGGGGTGGCACATCGAGCAGAACATTGTCCGTACTACCCGATGCGTCAACGCCGCGCTGTTGACCAAACTTTTTCTGCTTTTTGTCAAACCTTATCTTTTGGCTTATTTAAGCCTAAGCTTATCTTTTTAGGAACATTATCTTCTTTCTTATCCTTAATTTCAACATATGGGAAACCACAAAGGGATTTTAGGAGATTTTGATCCAAGATAACTCTTTTAATAAAGTTTTGCATTTCTTTTGTTATTCAAATTCTTTCCATCATTTGATCATGTTTGCTCTATTATCTCTGTTTTGTTATGTAGATTTAGTGATGAGTTGTGAGTAGTTTACCATGGTTTTAGGTTTGAGCAGATATGGAGATGATTAGTTGATTACTTTGGGGATTTTAGCTTAATTCTTGCTTGGTTCACCTTGCTTAGTTGTTCTTAAGGCTTGAGTAACTTAATTAAGTGAAATAGATCATAAGTGTTTGCTGCATCAAAAGTGTTTGTTTAAATGCTTGAAAAAACTAAGTTAGGGATAATTGCTTAAATGATTATATTGCATCTTAGTATATTGTTTGATCTTTAAGAGTCTTGTTTGTCATGCTGGTTTTGTACAAATACACTGCCAAAAGTAGGTTTGACATGTGCATTACTTAGACATTTTTGGCTCTCTGTAAATTGATTGAATCCATTGCTTGATTATGTGCATTGCTTGTTGCTAGTTTGATTCTCCTAAGTATGAAGATAAGTATTCCCCAAGTCATCATTGCTCTAGCCTTAAACCTACGCAATTTCATCCTTTGCATTTAGTTATTTGTGCTATGTTTTCTCTGTTTTTACTTGCATTGCTCTTGCTTAATTTCTTACCCTACATTTCAAGTTATTTTATTTAGTTTCCATTTGGTTCTTGCTTTCCTTATTCATGTTTCATTTAGCTTGCTTGCATTTCATTTCATGCTTCAGTCTTTGCTGATTACTCATTTGCTAGTGCATTTTCTCTTATTCACTTAGGTTGTTAGAAAATATCATTTAATTAAAATGGTTAAGCTTAGCTAAGTTCCTTGCATCTCTTTTGGCCAACTCTTAGTTTAGATTGATACCTCATCTATACTATACAATAGATTAGAAGAGGAATTGATTTCTGACTTGCAAAATTTTCTCTTCAATACCATACACGTCCATGACCATCTTATTTTAATGTTTCCTTCTCCTCACCATACATGTCCATGACCATCTTATTTTACTGCTTCCTTCTCCTCGCCATACATGTCCATGAAACATTTGTGAGGAATAAATGTGAGAAATATTCAATATCACGCATAGGCTCCGACAATCCTCAAGAACGACTAAGCCATATTCATGATCCAATCCCCAACAATACTTTTCATGTGGATATTGTCATGTGGACAAAATCATAAGGAAGGATCGATATTTCCTCAAGAATCAATATTGCCATATTGTCCATCGCAGCTTGTCCATAGAAAGTTATACATATCAAACATTGCTCAATAAAAATTGGCATGTGGATAATGTCTTGTAAACAAAAGCAGAAGTAAGAATCGGTCTTTCATCATCGATTTTAACTTCTTAATCTGGCTTTTTTTCAACCATACCGATGTAACCAGAATGATGCATCCATACATATGTATCCACGCTGATGCATCCATAGCAAGGAATCCACACCAATACATTTACGCCATAACAGTAGAAGGAACAATAAAAGCTCGAGATCACTATTGTGCTAAAAAGTGTGAATGTATATGCTCATTTTTCATCCAAACATGCCTATGATCATTTGTCCATCTAAACGTGTCCATGCATCCATATTGTTTTGTACAAACTCATAAACATAGATCAAAGCAATTGGAGCATCTTCAATTGGTGAATCTAAGTATCCACTCGTTCATAACTATGCTTTTATGTCCAGTCATTCCTATCCATTGCTTCCGTGTCTAGTAATAATTATCCATGCCTTTGTATCCATTTGTTCATTTCCATGCTTTTGTATCTATTTGTTCACATCCATGCTTCAGACCCAAGACATCTATGGTGGTCGGCGAGGAGTAGATATGGGTTTGCAGTTGAAGGCGGTGAAGTTGCAAAGGAGTAGCTCGCCTGGTTACACACCTAAGCCTCCATTCCAGAAGACAGAGTACCAGAAACCTTACCAGAACAGCAGCAATTTCAACAGGAACTATGGTTCTTCTTCCTACCAATTTGCACCTCCACAAGAATACAAGATGGAAGCTATGCTGGAACAGATCCTAGAAGGACAACAGAAGCTGACAGTGGACTTCAATGGCAAGATAGATTCGCTCTATCAGGACTTGAATTGGAAAATTGAGAGTCTGAACTCTCATATGAAAAAGCTTGATGTTCAAGTTGCCCAAACTATATGAGCTGTTCAGAGGCAAGAAGGATTCCTTCCAGGAAGGACTGATGCTAATCCCAAACACCATGTGAATCCAAAGTCCCAACTCCGACTTTCAGAATACATCATCGGCAGAATTGGTTCGAAGAGACTAGATTTTTTTTCTTTAAGTGTTGCTCATGACAAATCACTTTGATTAGGGATCCGTCGCGATTCAATTGAGGCGGCACTATAGAGGCATTGTATCTGGGATTCTAAAACGCATATACAACATCAATGGTGAATTTGAAAATAAATCGTTTTTACTTTCCATGATATAATGGCGACAACGTATTTGCAAACGAATACGTTGTTTACACAGTAGCTTGGCTTTCAGATCTAAAGGATTTAGGTCATCGACGGAAGCAGATCTGTCACTAGATTTTTTGTTTTCATGAATTGTTTTTCTTTTAGATTTAGCAGTAAAATGTGAGAAGACAGAGAAAAATAAAAAGAGATGGAGAGTTAGTCAAAAGCAAACACAAAGTTAAGAAAGTGTATCTATTGTTAAAAATGTTATTTCTGTAATATGAGTTTGAGAAAGTTTCTCTAAACATAAAAGCTCGAAAAAAACTATTTTGTAATATTTTAACATATTTTTATCAAAATTAATCGGATTAACTGATAAAATATATAAAAAAATAAAAAAATTTTATAATAATTTAGTTTTTTTGCTTTAATATCTATTATTTTTAGTGGTCCCTTCGAAGACATTCGATAAAACTGAAACTAAACAAAGAAGATTAGCATGACAAAAAAAAATCTATTATTTTTAATGGTTTGATCTGTAAAAACTGTGAAAACTATAAATATGAGAAAATATATTTAAAAACCAAAAACTAAATAAAATATTTAAGTAACTTAATAATTTTTTTATAAAAGACTCATGTAAACGTAACATATATCAACTCTAACAAACTTATATATTCGTTTGTTCTGACTCCTGAAGCAAAATAAAAAATTACTATGTAATTTGGTTATACCAATTTAATAGTCATCTATCATAAAATCGTTGGGTTTGAATGATATGCAGCTTTTTCACGTTTTCACGTTTTGGAAACTTGATTCTGTTATTTTTTACCATTCATGTTATTTATCACGTTTTTTTATGTTATTGAAACGTGATTCCGCTAGTGTGTTAAAAATATAACTAAAAAAACAAAACGTGATTAATCTATTAAAAGTAGTTTTTCAGCGTTCCACAGTTATTCAGCTAAAATATTATTCAGTTCAGTTCATTCCGCTAGTAATTTTTCAGTTATTCCGCTATTCTATTATTCATCTGACATACCAGTCAGATCTGTTATAAAAATATTGCAATCAACTTTTGTGAATCGCTATTATTACAACTATTTCTTACATATTTACACTATTTGATAGCCACTTGCTACTCTTTTTAACCACTAAAATATCTATTTTGTTTTAAGTTATTAATCGGCCTTAGGGTATATTTATGACTGACTTAACCATTTGTAAAGATTTTATGATTTTGTTTCTTTTTATGAGATGGAAACAGTCAGTCGTCAAAAAAATTGAATAACAGAATAAGTTTTCTAAGATCAGTCAATACTCTCAATAGTCAAAACATCCAAAAACTACAATTAGGTCATAAATGCATTTGAAACCAAAAAAAAAAAATTACAGCTTTTTTCTTTATTTTAAAAAGGATCTCTTGCTGCTTCTTCGAATTCGATCGTTACTAGAAGCCGCGACCACGACATTGGTCGTGGATGGTGAGAAGAAGTTAAAAGTCACACCGAATCAAGTGGGACACGTTCCTCGGTCACGATCGAATCAATAGCGCTTCTTCGTTTTAAATCCCTTGAAACTATTTGGAAGCGTTGACTGATTTCGAGAGCGACGATGGAGAGATCGGCGTCGGTGGGTATCAACGACGGCCGATTTGGTGGCAGCCACTTCTATTCTCCATCATTCTCTTCTTCTTCTTCTTCTTCTTCCATGAGACATGTTAATTACAGGTACATATTAGCTTTTGCGTTTCAATTGATTCTTGTATTCAAATCTTAGGCTTTGTCTTTGTTTTTTTTTATTTTGGGTTTTTGATTGTTTATTATGCTGTTGATTTGTCATGGCTTAGATTTAGAAAAAAGTATGTCTCTATCCTTTATGGCTTTCGTTAAAACCGAAATAGAGCGCTTTGTTTGTTTTTGTAAAGAATATGAGTCTTTTTTCTTTGGAAAACTTTGAGAGTTCTAATGTTTTTATGTTCATCGTTGTAGTAAGGAGCATGTGATGATGTGAATCAGGAAATCGTTTATTTAATGGTGATTGTTTTCTGAATTGGATGTGAATCTGAACTTAAGACTGAGGAAATTGCATTTTAACTTTTCTTGAAGTTGTGGATCATGCTCCACATTATACAATTAATTCTTGTATTTAATCTTGTGTAGGCGGCTTCGTTTGTACTTGAGTTTAGGGTTCTTATTTATCTATTTATTTTTCTGATTATGCTTTTGATTTCATGGTTTAGATTTGGTAATTTAGGGGGGGAAATTGTCATTATTCTTAATGACGTTAGTTAAAATCTGCATCATGAAAAAGAACCATTTTGTTTGTTTTTGTGAATAACATGAATCTTTTCACTTTGGAAAATTGTTTATATAGCTGTGATTGGATGTGAATCTAAATGAGATTGATCTTCAGTTTGTTGGTGTTCTCTTCTTTAGAGAATAACTTAAAGACTGAAACAAACTGCATTATTAACTTTCTTGTAGTTGTGGATCATGTGGGTACGAACTGAACCTGAGCTCCACGAATCGAATCACATCATCAATCGGATCAAAGTACGGGAAATCAATGAAGAGTGGAATCATATCGTTCTTCAACATCGACGAGGCAAGATTCAGTCAGGTCGATGAGTTCCAATGCATGCCTCACTTCTCAAGATACTCTTGGGGGTTGTTCAGACGCAGAACTAAGCTTCTCTGTCGCAAATGTAATAACTATATTGGCAATGCTTCTGAGGAGAAGACTCCTCAGTACGCACTCGTAACACAAAACTCAAATTCTACATCTCCCAAGAACGGTGTCACTGGTACTGTTATGAAGTATGATATCAAGATTCGCTCGCTTCAACCTTCTTCTGCTGTTGCGTCACTGTGAGTGAGTGCGTACTTCTAATTCTGTATATACCGGCCGATATGGTAGAACAACATCTTCGAAGTGTCAAATTTAGATCTTCATGAAGTGTTTTGTGTTATCGTAAAACATCTTCAAAGTCACGAAGTGTTTTGTATCAGTGTTGGTACTGCTTTGATGAGGTGTGTTGTATAGTTACAACAATTTGCCTTTTGTTTTTTGTAACTTTGAGGTGAATTGAAATTTCACTTGCTCATGTTCATCATTTGTGTTCAACAGCCCAAATACTGAATACATCTGAGTCAAAATTTAATCTCAAACGTATATTTTTGGGACCCCATCATCATTTTGTAATAACAACATTTCACTACATCGGCCTGCTGTTAAAATTCAAAACCTAACAAAGTCTTTGGACCACAAACTCACAAGTCATATAATAATAAAAGAAAATAGAGAATCACACATGATTAAGGTTAATTTCCAGACGGTGGTCTTCCATGTGCACCATTAGTACCTTGAGGGTTATTGTTACCAGTAGTACCTTCCTGTGATCCTTCTCCAAACATCTGCATCATTGATCTTAATGCACCTGAAAACTCTTCGGGCATTTGATCCGCACCTCCAATATCGATGTTGATATTTCCGCCTACATGAATCTCAGGCTCATCCGTACCATTTCTGTTACCATCTCCTTCTCCTCCTCCCTCGTTATTGCGAGAATGATTCCCATCGGCCATGTTCAAGAACATGTTAATAAAATCGGCGTCTATAGGCGTGTTCAAAAAGTCGGAGAACTGAGATGGCATTCCCTGGCCTCGCATTTCCGGTTCTTGATTGTGATTCTGCTCTTCCGAAACCACAACACATTCAGTAAATTTTGGTTTATCTCGTCTTATTTCTACTAATCCATGAAGATGAACTCATAAGCGTAATCTACCTGACTACGTCTCTGTCGTTGATGTTCTTCTCTCAGTTTTTGTTCAGCCACCTGTGTTTTGCAAATTGTCAATATCAGAATGTCATGTCAGTTACAGAACGATCATATTAAAGCAGAGAAATATATTTTTTTAAAAAAAACCGACCCTGATATTTTCTTTCACAGATTCGTTATGTGGATCCAACTGCAAAGCTGCCACGAGAGTGTGATGAAAAAAAAAGGTTACACAGAATAAATGCTAGCTAACTTAAAGAAGCAAAGTTCACAGAGAAATACGCTAACTTAACAAAGAAGCTCAGATTAGTACTAAGAACACATACATACCTTTCCTAAATCCTTTCTCGATAGCATCGACATACTTTCCTTGAGCATAATATGCTAACCCGAGACGACTGTACGCCTTACTATAATTTGGATCAATCTCAATGGATTTAAGACAGTCCTTGATTGCTTCTGAGCACCTGTTGATCTGGGTATATGCAGCCGCCCTGATAAATGATTTTTTTAAGAAACTAAGTAGATCATTGGACAAATGAAACTATCTAAGCATGTTGAGATTAGATTATGCAGGAAGCACACCACCAAAGAGCTACAAGCTTAAGTATCCGGAAATATCAAGTTGTGAAGATTTATTACTCACCTGTTGCAGTAGAAAACCGCGTTCTTATCCGATAGCGCAATTGCAAAAGAATAATGCTCGACTGCATCCAGATAAAGCTGGGACTGCATCGCCTTGTTACCTAAAAGGCAGAGAATGACACATACTGTTTTACAAGCATCAAAGACCTTCATTGATCTCTCTTATTTTAACATAGGCTTGAACTTCTCAGTATGACAATTATATTATACGATAACAAGATAACGTGCAATCCTAGTGCGAACACAACATCACAAGTACCTTGGCACTTCAGTGTCTCCGCCAAGTTTTTCACATCAAACGTCTGGCATCCCGACTTCTCCATTTCCTGATATGCAGATAAAGAATCTTGTTACCAAACTCAATACCAATAACAAGTAAAACACATCAATGAAATCAAGCCTACATTGATAGCATCATGAAATATCTTTGTTGCTTTTTCCAGCTGAGCAGGATCATCATCTCCTTCAGGCGTGTTATTGAAATACCGTACTTTCTCAAGCCCACCAAGGAGTTGGGTAAATAGTTCATCTCTAGAAGTTCCTGCAATGAGCAATTTACACAATAAAACTGATATGCCCTTAAGAGCGTTCTACAACAAGAAGAAGAAACAGAGGGGTGGTGACATGGCTCAACAAGAGGAGTGAGCTGCCATTTTCGGTTAATACGCTGGTTGGTTCATTGTAAAAACCAGAACTCTCAAGACTATAAAGAGAAAACTTCTGATTTTAGTAATGGTTATGCGATTTTTGCATCTTGTTTTGGCTTGTTTTCCATTTGTAACTTCAAGAATTATCCTCTTGACTCTAGTTTTATTCATTCTTTTCAATCAATAAAGTGAAAGGTTCTTATCAGAAACCAGACTAAGTTCAGCAGCAAGAAAGCATACGGAATTTTCGGACCTCTAAAACCACATTCCATTACAGTAACTGGGCACTCACATTGATTCAAACGATCATGAACCATGAATAAAGCAAACCATTTACTAACCGGTAAAGAGAGGCTCTTTGCTAACATCGACTGAGACATTAGAGCCAGGACCTGAGGAGGAACTAGGCTCATCTATCGTAACACCTCGATTAGCAACGAATGGTGCGGTTTCAGAAACAATAGGAGCAGTATTGGTCAATGAACTGAACATGTTTATAAGCGAAATGGGTTTCCACTTATAATCTCTAGTAGAATCTGAAGTAATTTTAAACGCTTCCGTTAAGCATTCTCTAGCAACCTCAAGCCCTTCTTCGTCAACACCAGGAGCAACCTCAACTACAAGAATAATACCGGAAAAAAATAAGCCCAAATTTCGAGAAATCACTTATCTATCTCTAATAAACCCTAATAAAAATATCCGAAGAGTTGTTTTGGAATTAAATCGATGAGGAATTACTATTCCTTTTCGACGCATTCGTGAATGTGTTTACAAAGATAGAGAGAGAGATAGATAGAGGAAGTGAAAGCGATTACCGGAATTCAGAAAATCCAAGAAAGAATGAACAATTTTCCGGCAGACTGGAGACTCCGTCGTTAGTTTCGCCATTGTAGAGGGAGAGGGAGAAGAATTTGGAATTTTTTATTTTCTGCGATTGAAGTGTCGTCGCAGGAGACAAATAGAAAACCACGTTTGGAAACAGGGTTATCATAGTCCTGGTTGGTTTTAGCCGCTTCCTCGTCTTCCTGTTTGGAATCACCGAATCAGGGTTACGTGGAGGCTATCTAGGCATATCAAACGGACTCGTCCAGTCCAGTTCCATCTGAAACCCGTAAAACCTACATTAAATCCAGTCCAGCCAGATCTGATAATATATCGGACCTATATTTTAACAGGTTTATTAAAAATTTTTGGGCTTTTCAAGTTTTTAGAAAAATATAAAATTAAATTTAAATATAAAATAAACTAAAAAAAAAAGTAGTTATTAGAATTAAATCTAAATTTAAATAATCATAAATATAGTTTTATCAAATTTAAAAGCAATACTTTAACTCAATAAATACATATAAATTTTAATATCAAATATAAATAAATAAATAAATAATTTATATAGTAAAAACGGTAAAATCAAGATGAGAATCTTCATATTGAAGATATGAATGCTTCTTGAAACTAGTTTAGTTTAAACCTTAATGTTTATATGAAGGCACATAACTAAAAATTAAAGTTTTAAGTTAATAAAAAGTTTTATATAAAAATCAATAACCTTAATTTTAAAAAATTATAAAGAATAAAAATTTATAAATAAATTATAATATAAAGTATAAGACTTTCGGGTAAGCTCGAGTCCGATCAGGCTTAAGCTAGAATGAGTTTAGCCCAAAAATCTTGATTTTTTTGGGCTTTTATACCAAAACTCAAACCCGATATTTTTAAAGACCAAACCGAGCAGGTCTTCGGACTTTAGCTCTAATTAACATCTCTAAAACTATCTGGTAATTTGAATAGTGGATTTGCTTCTGTGTTGTTCTCATATGTGCAATTTTTCAACACCTTCCTTTTTACTTTCTAAAATTTCATATCATTTTTTCTTTCTTTCACCTAATTATTCAATACTCAATCAATTTTTACCATATACAATAATTTTATTTAATAAGGTTTAACATTCTAGCCACTATTATCATATTAGTTTTTTTCTTTTATATATGATATTTTTGTATTTGATTTATAAACGCCTTATAAAAGTATTATAAAACTTTATAAACCTAATACTTAATAAATAAATAAATTTAATAAATTAATATTTTTTTAATTTCAAGTTAGGCCGGTGCATAATATTATACAAATCAATAAAATAAAATAAAAAATGATAATTTTTTTTAAAAAACCTATGAAAATATACAGTTCAGTTAATATCATAACTTAAAAATTACCATAAAAAATTATACAAATATACAGTTATGATAATGTATTAAAATATTAGTATATTTTTGTTTTCATATTGAAACTGAAATATTTATATAATTTATCTTTAATTTTATAATCAAAATTTGGAATTTTTCTTAGTAAAATATTATTTTGGTTAATTAATAATAAATAATTTATTTTATTTAAATTTGACAAATTAATAACTTTATAAATTAATGAAACATTTAAGTCCCTAACATTTTTAATTTATAGAATTCATACGGTATGTGCAATGTTTTTTTTTTCATCACCCTCCTTTTTATGATTATATTTTAATAACAAATATCGACTGGATTAAGTTAAATAAAATTTAATAATTTTAACACAAAAATTTTGTATTCTTGTAATCTTAATTATTTTTTTTTAAAATAATAAATATAAGAAATAATAATTATTAAAATAAATAAAATTAAGAAATATTTGAAATGTAAAACTGTTCGGGAGCAAATTTCAGGATGCTACGTGGGGGTGTGTGATTCGTCCAGGGTTGAGTTGTGTCTTCGAGTTTCATCCTCTGTGGGGAAAGGCGACTAGTCGTTCCAGGGTGGAAGCATGCGCGAGTCCTGGTGACGGGGTGGTTATCATACGTAATCCTGCAAATACTCAAAGAGAGGTCAATCGGGCCTCCGGGAAGACTGAAAGGAGGTTTTCCGCCCGAAGATTATCCGACGCCCAAGTCAGTAGATGCCCTACTGACACAGAGGTTTTTAGGTCTCAGTCAATCACCCCTCTATGTTAATCAATTGTAGTATAGCAAGGGTTTTATGTCAATCCAAATGGGTTTGTTGAAAGCAGAAGAGTTGTGAGCAGAGATCTATAAGTCAAGCAAAGCAAAGAAGAGTTTTTGTTGCCTAAGAAACTTATCTAACAACCTAGAATGATCAATCACCAAAGAGAATTCAAAAGAAGACAGTTTAGCAGTGATCAAGAAGGAAAACAGAGCAAAATAAACAGAGCACTTAACAAATTCGAAATTCAATAAAAGAGAAAGCAAGTTCCTAGATTTGGTTATTGATTTTGGGGAATCTAGAGACTAACTAAGGTTGTTTCAAACAGCATTGATCAAGCAAACAAGCTAGCAATGGTGGTTCCTAGACATAGAGTTCACAGTCAAGCAAGCTAAGTCCAATCTCTTGTAAAATAGCCCTTTACTAAACACCTTAGCAAGATCTAACTCTCATTAGTGCTAAAACATCTAGCAAGCAATAGCAACCATCTCTACTCATGTCAAAATGCTCCTCAAACAGTCAATCTCTTGAGCCAAGGCTAGCAAATCCTCTATCAAACAAGATCAGCATTTCATCAAACACTTAGTGGGCATAAGAGAAAGCCTAAATTCTAGATAAGTGTGATCAAGACAAATCTAGCTTATAAACAGATTAATAGAGAGGAACCCATGAAATTAAACACTAAACAAACCTTAATCAATCCCTAAATCCCCTTAATCTACCACATATAAGAATCCTAAGCAAACTACTCACTAATACTCATGTTTAACACCAAATCACAAGAGAAAGAGATGTTAATCATGATTAGAAGAGAGATTAGAGAGAAATTAATGGCAAATACAAACTTATATAAAAAAAATCAAGAAAATTATTTACAAACCCAGAAAATAAACTCAAGAACAGTGTTATGAGGTGACTTCTCGAAAATCCCAGAAAAGGGTATTTATACATAAGAGAAGGAAGCCCTAAGATAATGTTCAAAAGTGTAATAAAAACAGGTTCGGATTGGGTTCGTATCGGTCAGTTGTGACCGATAGGAATGATCGATAGGGATCCTATCGGTCTGGAAGATGACCGATAGGGTGACCGAAATATAAACGGTGCACAGCTATCGGTCACTTCACTGACCGATAAGCATGGTCGATAGGGATCATATCGGTCACTCCTTGACCAATAGGTCTTGCGTCTTGATCGATAGGCTCTGCAGAGATCGTCTGCCTTGGTCCCTTTTGCTCCTCTTGGTCCAGCAAGCTTCCTGGATCATCCTCAAAGCTTCTCCATGCTCCTTATGGCTCCATAGGTACCTAAAAACATCCATAATGCATAGAAAATGCAAACTATGTCCTAAATACAACCTAAGTCTAAAAGGAGAAGAAAATAAGACAAAAGATAAGGAAAACATGCAAAAGAGAACCAAAACATGTACTAAATGCAAACCTAAATGGTGTAAATACAAGAGATATCAACATCCCCACACTTGCCTTTTGCTTGTCCTCAAGCAAATAAGAACAAATGAGAGAGTGAGGTTTGAAGATGGGCATTCAAATCCAAAAGTGCAAAGGTAAATAGATGGTATCAATGCTTAAGTGCCTAGTTGTAGGATGCAAACATAATCAGCTATACTTTAAAGAACCTAGCCATGCTCATCATGTTTCAAAATGACCTTAAATCTCAACTTAGGCAAATGCTCAAATCAACCAACTCTTTAACATTCAATTAAGCTCAGAACATGAATCATGCTTATGCAAATCAAGTAAAGACATTTGGTTCAAAGGGTAAGGTTATGAGACAAAAATGATCTCATTTTAGCAAAAAGGTTTTAAAACACAAGGGATCACTCAATGAAAAAGATTCCATCTTAGGCAAAATGCTAAAGGTAAAAGCACACTTATGCATGCAATTCAAAGCTCTCTTCTACCCAAAGATGAATCCTAAATACTTCTAAACCCAAAAGTGAACCCCTAAGTCTACCTTTTTCCTAAACTCTACCCTTTACCCTTCTTCATGGCTGGGGAAACTCCTCTTTTTGCTTGTGCGGTTGCTTCCTTTTGGTTGGGACTTGCTCTTCTTTGTTGTATTGGCACCTTCATCACCTTTGGTGGATTGCTCTTGGTCTGATTTTTCTTCTTTTGACCTTTCTGAGCTTTGATGCTGGCGCCTTTCTTCTTTACACTTAGAGCTTTTACTTCTCTTTACTTAACCACAACTCTAGACTGTTTCCCCTTTTCTACCATTTCAAACCTTTTCCTTTTTTTTCAAGACATATATACATGAAGTTCAAACCACTTAACACTACCCTTTTAACCCAAAACTCCTATCCTAGAATCAAGCTCAAGATGCAAGCTGATATCTACAAGAGAGCTTATTATTGCCAGCCTTATTCCTAACACTTTTTGTCAAGACAAAATCGAAAATATTATGCAAAGGCCTCACAGCTCTCAAGATAGTGTTTAGGCTCAAAAGAAGGTTTTGGTTAAGGGAGTGGATTAACTGTCCTATAAGGATGAGGATCAGCTA